TGCCCAAGCACAATCAGCAGCTGAGGAGCTGAAAATGTTTTTAGAAGCTGATTCTGTGGAAAAGATGAAAAAGAAACTTGATAAGTTGTGTATGGTGTTAATTATGCGTGCCATGAACTCTTAATTTTAATCATATTCATGATCAGATTTTGACAGATCAAGAGATCCCTTCAATGGAGAACCTTGTAACACATCTTCTTTGTGTTCCAAGTTCGAAAAATAGTGGAAGTTTGGCTGAACCTATTGAATCTTCAGCAATGGTTTCTACCCGAGGAAGAGGAGGTCGTGGAAACCGTGGAGGACATGGTGGCAGGAGTGGTCGCCCCCAATGCTCATATTGTAAAAGAATGGGTCATACTCAAGAGACTTGCTATTCCTTGCATGGCTTTCCTGGAAAAACTGCCAATGTCTCCAAAATTGAAGACTCTAAATCTGATCATAAATTTTCTGAGGATGAATATCAAGAATATCTTCGGTTGAAATCCAATAGTCAAGCTCAATCTTCCTTTGTTCCTAATATTTCAACAGCATGCATTTCTCAATCCATGGAGAGTCAAGGTCCATGGATAATAGATTCTGGAGCTTCTGACCATATCTCTGGTAATAATTCCTTGTTCTCTTCTATTTCCTTACCTAAAGTTCCTCATTTCATCACCTTGGCTAATGGATCCAAATTCGTTTCCCAAGGAGTTGGTCAAGTCTCTCTCACTCCTTCCTTGAACTTAAAATCTGTCCTCTTTGTTCCTAAATGTGCTTTTAATTTAATTTCTTTAAGTAAATTAACCAAATCATTAAATTGTTCCGTAACCTTTGATGCTAATTCTTTTGTTATTCAGGAACGTGGCACGGGTCGGTTGATTGGAGGAGGACATGAATCTAGAGGACTCTACTATTTTGAAACTAGCCCCTCTGTCTCTTGTTTTGCATCTTCGACTCCTAAACTTTTGCATGATCACTTGGGTCATCCTCACCTAGCAAAATTAAAGAAAATGGTTCCTAGCCTTAACAAGCTTCAAGCCTTAGAGTGTTAGTCTTGTCAACTAGGGAAACATGTTAGGTCTACATTTCCAAAAAGAACTGAAACAAGATGTAACTCTGCTTTTTCCATCATTTACTCAAATATTTGGGGTCCAAGCCGTGCTACATCTTTTGGGTTCAAATATTTTGTCACATTTATTGATGAATACTCTCGATGTACTTGGGTTTATTTAATGAAAGATCGATCTGAACTATTGTCCATTTTTATGTCTTTTTGCAATGAAATTAAGAATCAATTTGGGAAAATAATAAAAATCCTCAAAAGTGATAATGCTAAAGAATATTTTTCTTCAGATCTTACATCCTTTCTAACTACATATGGTATTTTACATCAATCTACTTGTCCTCATACACCACAACAAAATGGTATAGCATAAAAAAAAAACAGACATTTAGTTGAAACTGCTCGTACCTTATTGCTTAGAACCAATGTTCCTGTCCATCATTGGGGTGATGCAATTCTTACGGCTTGTTTTCTAATAAATAGAATGTGATCCTCCTCTCTTGATAATAAAATTCCTTATTCAATTCTTTTTCCAAATGAACCTTTATTTCACGTTTCTTCCCGTGTTTTTGGTTGTCTGTTTTGTCCATGATTTATCTCCAGGTTTTGACAAACTCTCTGCTATGGCCATTAAGTGTGTTTTTCTGGGTTACTCTCGACTTCAAAAAGGTTATCGTTGTTATTCTCCAAACACTAGACGATACTACATGTCTACTAATGTCAGCTTCTTCGAAGACACTTCATTCTTCTCATCTTCTATGCAAGTTTTAGATTCTGTTCAACAAGTATTACCTGTTCCATTTCTTGAGTAGTCTCCTAAAACTACCAATCAAAACATAGATCCAAATCCTTCTCCAACTATCAACCCATCTGAACCATCATCACCACCTCTCATCACTTACCAACGAAGGACACAAAGGGGAAATTCAATACATCATGAAGAGCCATTTGTTTCATGTTCTTCACCATCAATTGCACCTACCACGATTCCCAATGATGAAGATTCTAGTTGTCCAATTACTCTTTGAAAAGGTATTCGATCTACTTGAAATCCTCATCCTATTTATAATTTTTTGAGTTACCATCGTTTATCCCCTTCATATTTTTCCTTTGTTTCATCCTTGTCTTCTATCACCATTCCTAAAAATATCAATGAAGCACTTGCTCATCCTGGATGGCGACAAGCCATGGTTGTTGAAATGCAAGCTCTTGAAAGTAGTGGGACATGGGAATTGGTCCCTCTTCCACCTAGGAAAAAGACAGTTGGTTGCAGATGAGTTTATGCCATCAAAGTTGGGCCTGATGGTAAGCTTGATCGCCTTAAAGCTAGATTGGTGGCCAAAGGATACACTCAGATCTATGGCCTTGATTATGGTGACACCTTTTCTCGTGGCCAAAGTCACTATTGTTCAACTCTTTCTTGCTATGGCGACTATTCGCCATTGGCCCCTCCATCAGTTAGATATTAAAAATGTCTTCCTCCATGGTGATTTAGAAGAGGAAATCTATATGGAGCAACCTCCTGGATTTGTTGCTCAGGAGGAGTGTGGATTAGTTTGTAGATTGCGTCGATCTCTCTATGGGCTCAAACAATCTCCACAAGCTTGGTTTGGAAAATTTAGTCACATTGTACAGAGTTTTGGGCTCAAACATAGTGAGGTAGATCACTCAGTTTTTTATTGTCATACCTCTTCTGGAAAATGTGTTAATCTTATTATGTATGTTGATGACATAGTTATTACAGGAAATGATTCTGTCAAGATTTCCCAGTTGAAAAGGCATTTAGTCAACCACTTTGAGACCAAGGATCTCGGTTATCTTAAATACTTTCTTGGTATTGAGGTGGCTCAATCAAAGGAGGGCATTGTTATTTCACAAAGAAAGTATGCTCTACATATTCTGGAAGAGACAGGCATGATTAATTGCAAGCTAATTGACAGTCCTATGGATCCAAATAAGAAGTTAGTGGCAGACCATGGTGAGCCATTCTCAGATCCAAAGAGATATAGGAGGATTGTTGGAAAACTTATTTATCTTACGATCACCAGACCTGACATCTCTTTTGCGGTTGGGGTTGTCAGTCAATTCATGCAAGCTCCTTATATTGATCATTGGAATGTTGTGACTCGCATTCTCAGGTACATCAAAAAGGATCCAAGACAGGGACTACTGTATGAGGATAAGGGAAACACCCAAATTTCTTGTTATTGTCATGCTGATTGGGCAGGATCTCCTATAAACAGACACTTTACTACTAGATATTGTGTTTTTATTGGAGGAAATATCATTTCTTGGAAGAGCAAGAAACAAAATGTTGTTGCTCAGTCTAGTGCAAAAGCAGAATATAGAGCTATGGCTACAGCCACTTGAGTTAATATGGATTAAGCAACTCCTTCAAGAATTAAAGTTCTGTGATGTTAAGCAAATGAAGTTGTATTGTGACAACCAGGGAGCTCTCCATATTGCTTCCAACCTCGTGTTCCATGAAAGAACTAAACATATAGAAATTAATTGTCACTTTGTTCGGCAAAAGCTGTTATGCAAAGAGATTGGTACTGAATTCACCAGTTCAAATGATCAACTAGCAGATATTCTTACCAAGTCTTTGAGAGGGCCTCGGATTAAGTTCATATGTTCCAAGCTTCGAGCATATGATTTATATGCTCCAGCTTGAGGGGGAGTGTTAAGTTTAATGTATTTTATAGGTGTAATTATTACTTTCTTTCTTTTTGAGACAGCCTTTCATTGATATTGATGGTTGTATCAAGGATCAGATTGTTGTCTCCCTTTTTTTGTCTTATCTTGAACTTTCTAGACACATATATATATAAATGTTTTGGAGCTAAGTGTACAACATACACTTTAGCTTTTCTCTCATTTTATCTTCAGTTTTCTCAACTAAAGTGAAGAAAGTTCACCTATAAAGAAGTCTCAATACCAAAAATTGGTGGGAGAGTTGTTATATCTATCTCACACTAAGCTAGATATTGCCTACGTTATTAGTGTGGTCATGCATGACCCACGTGAGAGACACCTTCAGGTAGATGAGAGGGTCCTTCATTATTTGAAGGCAATCCTAGGAAATGGCTGTTATTTAGGAGAGAAAGCTCATTGCCCCTAGAGATATACACTAATGTCGTCTAAGCAAGTTATAGAAAGAAGATCCACCTCCAGATATTACTTGTTATTGGAGAGAATCTAGTGACATGGAGGAGAACAAAGCAAATTGTAGTTACTCAGTCAAGTACAAAAGCTGAGTTTCAAGCTATGGCACATGACATACATGAAGTTTTATGGATGAATATCCTTGATGACCTCAAAGTTAATTATGAGGGTCCTATGACATTGTTTTGTAACTAACAATTTTGAACAATCATCACACAACACATTAGGAGAAGGGCATCATGTGACCTTCAAACCTACTATATGTCATTAGTGTTTATTGAAATAAGAACCACAATCCAAAGAAAGACTTGATCTTAGAGGAAGATTTGAATTTCAAAAAGGGTTTCTTAAGATGGAAACAAATTCTCCCTACTTCTATCGACACACTTAAAGTGTAGTTCTCGATGAAAATGTGGCCACTAGTTTCTATTCGTGAATTCATAATAGCTTAGTTTTAGTTGGACAATTTAATGATTGGTTGCTAAATAAATGATGACCAAGAAGCAAATGAATGACTATTGTTCTTGGGCATATTCTAGCCACATTCAACTTTTGGCCAAAGCTAATTTGTGGAGCTTGTTAAAATCAATGTATATATAATAATAGAGTATATCTTTATGTAATTATAGAAATTAGGGTACTTAGGATCCTTGTATTTATGATTGTATTTATGTCTAATTCTATTTGTATTGGACACACAGATTCTCTCCTATTGTTTCTCATATTCCTCTATCTATCTCAACATGGTATCTATAAGCTAATGACTAATGAGAAGACAATAAATTGTGCTTACCTGGTGAACATATTGCCTATCCATGCCCAAAAACTTTTTTGGAAACCATGTTCTTTTTCGATTTCCCCCTCTACCATTGGGTCTCCTTTTTCCAAAATGTTCTTCACCCCTACACAAAAGACTCCTTGCAACCTATAGTGAAAGCAAGAAGCAAACTTGTCCACGACAAAGCCTCTCCTAAACTAATATAAGTTATTTTGAAAAAAAAAATCATCATTGATAATATTCCAATAAGGTATTCCCACTAAAAAGGCTTACAAAGACATCCATAAATAATAGGATCATAATTAACAATGATCCTAATTGATGAAATAAAAAATAAAGAGATTCCTAATTAGTAGGATCATATCTAGCAATTATCATAATTAATAAAATAAAAAAAATAAAGAGAACTCTAATTAAAATATTAATACTAAAGATATGAAATCAGGGATTTTGATATGAAAATCTTATCAAGATAGGTAAATATAAAGAAACAAAATAAAATGAAATAATTCAATATTTAAATAGAGATATGGTAATCCTAATTATTGATTCGCATCAATCATTCTCTGCCTTGACTTTGAGCGTGTCTTCAATTTCAAATTCAAGAAAAACTGTCTAGATATGAACAGGAGGTTCCTTTCGACCATCCTTTTAGTCATCCTCGTCTAAGTCATTGTCCTCCCCAAGTTCTTGAATTCACATTGTACCAAATATAGTCTTCCATGAACAAACCAAACACAAAGATAGATTGTCACTTTGTAAAAGAGATTCTGCTTTCAAGGGATATCACAATTGATTTTGTCAACTATAGGGACTAGTTAGTTGACATGTTCACCAAGTCCTTTAGAGGTTCTCATGTTGACTACATTTGTAACAAGGTTGGATATGATATACATGTTCTAACATGACAGGGACTGTTAGATAGCATATTTAACACAAGTTAAACATGTAAATAGCTATTGCTAGAAATTAGGATTGGAGTTATGACAATTTTAGGGATATGATTTATTCTTATGTATTTATGATTGATTTTGTTGTACCTAATTATAAATAAGACTTGTGTGAGAACATTCACATATATTTCTTATATACAAAGATACAATGATATTTATGATAGGTAATAGGCCCAATAAAACTATTAATGCATCAAAACATTCTGAAAAAAAAAAACAAAAGAAAAATGGTAAACTTACTTTACTCTTATTGAAGTATAAAAGAATAAATAAAGAGATCCCGTAAACTGTATCTGACCATATGTTGGCAAATGCTTTGCGATTCTCCAGTCTCCGCTCTTCTCTCAACTCTAATCTATTGGTGCAATCAATAGAATCACAAAAAGGAGAATAAGTATACAACAATCAAAGGTCATCTTAAAATAATGACTCTTACTAAATAGCATCACAACAAATCAACAAGTCGAGGAGTAGATTGATTCTCCTTTTGCTCAAAGCCTTCACCAGTTCATAAGCTCTTTATAAGGAAGAATTCAGGAAAAGAACAACACAAATTTAATAAGATTGGCGAGGGACATATTTAACAACAAGAATTTACAATGCACACTGTTTAGCACAATTGGTTTTGTGGACTTTCTCACTGAATTCAATGTTCTTTTAATGTTAATATTCAGAAAACAACTATAGTAACCAACACAAGCAAACAAAAGAGCACCATTAAAGACAATCAGGCAAAAGAAAGAAGGGTTGATCTTACGCTTTATGCCTTAATTCCCACCAAACCTCATCATCGGAAAGAGGCGGAGATTTACCAATCTCGACCTCAAGCTCAAATCGTCCCCTCTCAATTCTTAGATCCTTAATCATTTCAAGTTTTTGATATCTTCTCACATCAAGCATTTGTGCTGCAAGTGGTACAGTCTTCACATATCTATCAATAGCAAAACATCACTTGAATGGTTACAAGAAAAGTTTCAATTCAAGAAGTTAATGGTAACACACAAGTAATAGATGAATAATCTGAAAAACTTATTTGGCAGAAAAAAAAATGATAAAAATCATTGATTTCTTTTAAAATTAAAAAAAAAATAAAAAATAACATATCCTCTCCTAATTTCTAGTTTAGTTTCCTTAGTCAGTTTAGTCTCCTGGTTTAATCCACCATCGCCTGGGTCATCCAAGCTTGAATAAATTAAAGAAAATGGTACCTCATCTCTCACGGTTAGAGTCTTTAGAGTGTGAGTCGTGTCAATTAGAAAAGCATGGTAGAGCTTCTTTTCCTAATAGTGTTAATAGTAGAGCTATGTCTCCTTTTGATGTTATTCATTCTGATGTTTGGGGTCCTAGTCGTGTTCCTTCTCTTTTGGGGCATAGGTATTACGTCACCTTTATTGATGATTTTTCTAGATGTACTTGGATATTTTTGATGAAAAATCGTTCTGAGTTATTCAATATTTTCCTAAGTTTCTATTCGGAGATCAAAACTCAATTTGGCAAAGTAATTCGGATTTTACGAAGCGATAATGCTAAAGAATATTTTTCAGATTGCTTCAAATCATTTATGGCTTCTCATGGCATTCTACATCAATCTAGTTGCCCTCATACACCTCAACAAAATGGTGTAGCTGAGCGAAAACATAGACATATTGTGGACACTGCTCGTACTCTTTTATTGAATGTCAATGCACCCCCAAAGTTGTGGGGCGATGCTGTCCTCACTACAGGGTATCTAATAAATCGAATGCCATCGCCTGTCTTGAATGATCAAGTACCTCATTCCCTATTATACCCATTGGAACCCCTTTACTTTGTTCATCCTCGTGTCTTTGGTTGTACTTGTTTTGTCCATAATCTTTTCTCAGGACGTGATAAGTTGTCTGCTCGGGCCATCAAATGTGTGTTCTTAGGATACTCCCGTATCCAAAAGGGGTATTGTTGTTACTCTCCTGCTACGCATCGATTTTACACCAGTGCAGATGTCACTTTCTTTGAAGATACACCATATTTTATTGCCACAGATGTCTCTCCGGTTGACTCAGATCTCCTCTCTCAGGTATTGCCTATTCCTCATTTTGATCATAGTGTGCCTCCTACCACACCTGCTACTTTAGAGGCAC